TGCAATAACCCATACGCATCCTAAGTTCCTAACTACAGTACATTTCAATGACATGGATAGGCATTCCCAGGCTGGGTGCACTATTAGGCAACCCCTTGAGTCTGCCAGGAAATGCAATGTAGGAATAGTGTCAAACGGCATCCATGGCTGTCAAACGCCAGTGGAAATGTCGTGTTCGCTGGTGGGTGTTTTTAAAGTTAAAGTAAAAATAAAATTATCGTGTCCGCTCCCGGAAGGGAACTCACGACGGCCGTTAACACCCTGTTAGCCCAGAGGCAGATGCATCGCCTAATGGTGGGTGAGAGGGGATAAGTCTCACACTCACTGGCACAAGTGCAGAGAAACCCCACTAGCCACATCCACGTAACCCCTGTGCCTGGCCACAAGCAGCACAGCTGGAAACACCTCTCCCCGGCAGGACTTGAAGCGGGTACTTCTCGTATCTCAATCTTTGACCAACCCACTGTGCCGGCCTGGTTTTAGCTGGTGCCTCGGAACGGTGAAAAGAATATATCCTGGTTTAACGTTTTGCAGTGACTTGAAGTACATGTACATGTACAGTTGAACATCGATTATCCGCACATCGACTATCCGACCATTCGATTATCCGTAACAGTTTTTTTGGGCGCACGTGCCGTAGAGTACGCACTGTGCATGTAGTGAGCCATTCAAAAAATACGAAAAATTTGGAAAGTAAAAATGAAAAGGTCGTGCGGCTAGTAATAACCACTGAAAGTGTGTGAGTGACAGTTTTTTTCTTATCCGGAACATTTGCCTTATCTGAACACCGCCTGACAGTTGTCTGCCCAGAGGTGGTCGGATAATCGATGTTCAACTGTACTTCCTCACTGGCAGCATTCCTGTTGATGCTACTCTCCAACGTTGCCTCATTCTCTTTTTGTCTTCCATGATCGCCCTGCACCAGTGCACTGCGTAGTGTTTACAGGTCTGTGGCTTCATGGCGGCGTGACGTGTGACATTGCCTCGCATGATCAGTACTCACTGACCAGCACTGTGGTTCACAGAGAGGTTGGCCCACACTCACACTTCAGGTCACTTTTCCAGCCGACGTGACTTCCGCTAAGTCAGGAATGCCATCCGGAACATACGAGCAAAACGCTGAGCCTTTCAATCCAGACTTGCAAAGTCATAGAGGCAACTACAGCAGCATTGTGCGCTTTTTACGCAAACCCCAGTCTATTTTAAGTCACCAGGAAGTGTCCTCAACACAAACCAGAATATTTCTTTCATAGTCGCTGCATTTTAGCTTTCAGAATGTGTTAACTGTATCATTTGAGTGGCAGCGAATATCGGCATACCATACTCGCACGATTAGAGCCCTCTCTTGAATAGTGCCCCAGTCTCTAATAACCAGTGAAAAATAAAGCCCTCTCTTGATAAAGCCCCCCCCCCGGGCTTGTAACCAAGCGAATGTGCAAGTTTGGTATTCTTTTGGTAATGTTCTTGTCCATGTCATAGAACTGGTGGTTTCACTCTCAGGATCAAAATCGCAGTTCTTGTTGCCCTTTCTGTTGAGTCGTGATTGTTTACAGCAAACTTAGACTCTGTCTTTCTTTGCCTTCTTTGTTTTTATGCGGGATGATGTTAACGCACGAACATTTAAAAAACAGTGCCCTCTCTTGAATAGTGCCTTCTCTTGAATAGTGCCCTCTCTTGAATAGTGCCCCATCTGTGATGGGCATTGAAAAAAATAGTGCCCCAAGGGCACTACCCTAGTCGCGCGAGTACGGTATAACTGCTTCTTTGCAGACTTGCACACCATAATTGCAAACTGACGATGGCAATTTGCCAAAAGGTCATTGAAACTGATTCAGTGTACCAATGTGTAAGTTTGCAATGCCGAGGGAAAGAGAATGTGTGCCCAAATAATTCTTTAAATTTGAGTGGACTTTTGCCTGCCCGTTCCTGTATGCCCATCACTGCAGTTGGACAAGAACGGAGGAAAGAGCATCTTCACTGAACTGTGCTCACTCGTCCCATTGTTTCTCATCAGTATGTTTCACGCAAGGAGAGGCTTACGAGGTAGAACATCGCACCCGTTAGCTGGGTCGGTATCCGCCATCCTGGGAACTCTCATCGTCACTGCCACCACCAGTTGTCTCCTAGTCCCGATCAGTGGGCAAGGCTGGGCATCGCATCACTCAGCTCCAACAGCTGTGAATGTTGTTGCAGGTATTCTGGCTGGCACAATCACTATCATAAAACCAGCCAGATCACGCATTACAACTGGTAAGATAAGGTCCAAGGCATCACCATCAGTGATGCATCTCCCTACAAGCACATGAACAATAGGTTTCATAGTCTTGGTAAAGGAATCTAATCATGGCTACCTAGATGTGTATCCGACAAGAAGGGTCATACCGATAGCTAGTCAGGTCTCAAGCACCAGAGGGTGAACACACACACACAAATACACACCTACACACACAAATACACACACACATACACACACATACACACACATACACTTGTACTTGCTGACTGCCATAACTGGTCACCTTGGTCTCCCCTTGGGATAGGGAAGAGAGACTCTAAAGGAATCTTGGAAAGAACCGTCCTATAGCCGATACCCCCTGAAATCTCCAAACTCTGAGTGGAATTGAAAATGATCCCACTTATGGGCTTACCACACCTCAGTACGTGGGTGAGGACAAGGTGAAGAAAAAGGATTGACGGCATCAGGGTATCCGTCCAGGGATCCAACAGACAGTTACTGTAGTTACCCCTACCCCGGGCAAACACACAGACACAGACACAGACACACACCATTGGCCCATCGCCGGAGGCGATGATAGCGATGCTACAGCAGAAGCCAAAGCAACTTGTGCTGGGATTGCACCATTCAACAGCTTGCAAGGCTGAAGAATTGACCGCCACTATTCAGCCTGGTCTACACCACACAGCTATGAAGTGGTGTTTTCTGGCCTGTGAATCCCTACTTTCTAGTCTTTTTTATTTATTTTTCTCGCACACACATCACACCACATACTCCGGCATGCACTGGCTGTTGGTAACCACCCAGGAGAATGAAAGAAAAGTCAGGAAGAGTCTGAGAAAGAGAAGAAAGACGTGTGTGACCATAATCGTCGGGAATCGAACCCGCAACCTATCGATTGGAAATCGCTGCACATACCACTGCACCATATGGGACACACACACACACACACACACACATACACACACATACTTGTACTTGTTGCTCACTGCCAAACCAGGTCAGGTGGGTCTCCCCGGGAGAGGGGAGAGAGAGACTCAAAAGGGATCTAGGAAATTGGCTATTGAACCCACATACACACACGTACAAACGCACGCACACGCGCACGCGCGCACACGCACGCACACACACACACAGGAGAGAGTTACAGGATGTTTCTGCTTGACGTCTATTGAGAGTGTGAGTGTCAACACATGGCTCTAAGTCTAAGTCACGTGTATGTATGCTTTGCCCTGCTTCAGCCTGCGACTCTCAGATCGACTTTGAGACAAGAAATCCGATGACAAGACTTGATCAGTCCACATCTGACAGCTTTAACTGGACTCTGGCCAGTGGTGCAACTGCCAGCGGAAACAATACCCCAAAAGTGGACCAAACAACAGGGACCGGAGCTGGTGAGATAGGTAGTGCGTGCTAGCAAAGGAAATCCAAAGCCTGGGCCCCCACACACAAACAAATAGGCGTGTCATGCCATAAATACGCCCCTTTTGTGCCATTTCTGTTTTGGCAGGCAGGAGCGCTGATACAGCGCTTTGGGCTTGAAGCGATGCGCTTCCCTATGAAGGTGGCTAAGTAATGTTGTTCCAACCGCAGTGGACCTGTTCTTGAACAGTGCAGACGTGATTTCTTTCCGCCAGCCATCCTTGCGGCACGAACAAATACTTGCATGCTACACACATGAGGTCACTGCATATACTTGTAAACGAAGATCCTTCCTAGCATGTTCATGTAGTGCCAATGGGCAGACATACATGTACATGTACATCTACAAATGAGAGTCCTCCGGGTCGGTAGAGTGCTCAATATTCGTTCCGAACGGTTCGAATAGAGCTATCTTACACACGGCACAGAGCACCAAGCATCGTTCGTTAGTTGTCTGGTGATTGCCTATGGGCAAGCCGCAAGAAACTATTAGTTGCAACGAACGATGCTTGGTGCTCTGTGCCGTGTGTACATGTTACGTTACATCTGTTATTACTATCATACACGCCCGCGTTTACGTCAACGGTGCACGTATTCGCATGTGTCAGAACACAGACAGAGCGGACAGAGAGGAAAAGAAATATGCACATAATTATGGCGATATGCACGTAACTCGCATATACATACATTAACTACGTTTTTGTCACCTAATGGATTTGCATGGTAGTTTCTTGATTCTTGACATCTATTTGTTCGTGTCACTTCTACACATAATTGGAGTAATTGGAGTGATATATTTCTGAACTTCTTTTCCTTATAGTTGTAGTCTTTTAGCTTATTTCCATCATTCCCTGTAGTATTTTGACAAGAAGGGAACGAAAACGTTCAATACTTTGACACATGTCCTAATTGGCTGGTGGTGACTCTTGCGTAGATGCATGCGTAGATAATACATTTTTGTAATAATAATAATAATACCACAGCACGCGTAATAATATAATTACGTGGGTACAAAAAAAATGCACCCCGGTGCATTGAGCACTCTTTCGAGGACCACACCCAACTTTCCGTGTGTAATTATGTGGGCATAATTATCCGTTCCGCTTCTGTCCTATCTCCTATGATCAAATTCCATTATCAAGTTATTAATATTAATACGGTGCACTGATGACCTGTGACGCCAGATTTGCGTGAGTGTGTTGTATTATGTGTGAGTATGTTGTATTATGTGTGAGTGTGTTGTATTATGTGTGAGTGTGTTGTATTATGTGTGCCGATGTATTATGTGTGTTGTATTATGTGTGCCGATCTATTATGCGTGTTGTATTATGTGTGTTGTATTATGTGTGCTGATGTGCCACCGTCAGGACGTTACATCTACATGGATGCGGCCGGCCGAAGACAAGGCGACACGGCAGTGATTTCGCTGGCGAAAGTGCCAGGCCTACGGGGCCCAGGCTGTGCTCTCAGCTTCTGGTACAATATGTATTTGGACAGTGCAGGAACTCTGGAAGTGACATTGAGGGGTACCTCCACCTTAATTTGGACTGCAACAGGATTTCTAGGAAATTTCTGGCAGCAAATTTTTGTCCCAATCAATGACCAAACGGATTTCGGAGTAAGTTCTTTGGCTGCATTTCAGTACATTATACACATGATCGTGTTCAAAATAATATTCTGAATGACGCCTGAAGCAAGCAGCTTTATTGTATACCAATGGGTTGACAGCGTCAGTGGTGACCACTGAATTAGTTTGCACTGAACTTAGACAGCGCCAATCGCCTCATAACGTTACTCATACTACTGCCCATCACTGAAGCGATGATAGCGAATTAGCTATGTTACACATTGTCATAGCAACCTGTGCTGTAATTACACTACATACATGTACTGGTATTCACATACAGGCGTTCACCATTTCTGCTACTGCATTGGTGCTAAATGCACAACCTGCAGAGCTGGTCACCCACTATGGACGATATGGAACACGTTTTCCTTGTACACGAGCGACAAAGAAGTGATAGAAATAGAAGAGGCAGAGAGTGAAAGGAGCTCACTGTCATTCCCTTGGTCGTTCCATAGCTAAAATCCTTTTAGAAGCATGTCTTGTGGATCGTATCTACATAATTTCACGTAATTCTGTACTTCTGTCCCCTTTCAAACAGCTGCCAGGTGTGTAGGTTCCTGTCTTCTTCCTCTGTGCTCCCATCTTCTGTTTTCTAACACATTCAGATCACGTTCACTGGAACAGTGGGCTCATCGTCCATTGGCTATATTGCGCTGGACGACATCAAGCTTAGTGCAGACTGCTGCACGAGTAAGAGAAGTCCGCTTATAGTGCTGTGCACACACTGCTAGGCACCGGCGGCGGGTGCTAGCACACTAGAGGGTTCACGCTTCACGTTTGTTTCAATTTTGAACGTGAGATCTCACGGCCAAAATGGCGCTCCTCACGTTGCTACGTGAGATTTCAACGCGACAGAGGGCCAACTCACGGGTACGGAGGCAAGAGCGATTCAACGCAGGTTTTGTCTCAGGTTCGAAATTGGAAAAACGTGAAGCGCAAACTCTCTACTTATTACTAGTAGAAAAAGAGTGAACTTTTGGCGGCTGGAATTATGCCAGCATAATTATTATTCCCCATATTCGGTCGAAACTAGCTAAAACTCGCTTCCCCTCGTTGGACCTTTCCGCACCTGAGCGTTCCAAGTTGGAAGGCTGTTGGTTTGCACTTCGTAGATGTGTTGGAGCTAGGTGTCAGGTCGTTGAAGTGTCTCAGTACTCCTTGTCAATTTGGTGCCTTTATTGTTACACTACTACCTGACTGCATACTAATATTTCGTTTCCTTTGGGGACTGTTGGTCAAACCTCGTAGTAACATGTTGGTTCTTCCTCTTTTATATGAATAAATTAGGCGATGATGTTTTGTTTTGTTTTTGTGTGCATGCATATACCAAGGGCTTCAGGGGACGTGTAATTTTACAGTTACAAAGTTTCATGTTCGACTCGAAATGATCGAAATGCTTTTGGAAAATGTTTTGAAAGTTGCCTTATGCCGGCAGTAACGAAATGAGCAACTTTGCTGCATGCAATGTGTGTTTGAGCAAAAATGTACGCGCGCGAGGGTGCTGGTGATAGTGATGGCGGTCGTGGTCGCGGTGAAATCCGTCCGTCTGGGAATGATTGTCAAGTTCATCTGTACCCTACAACCATCTGATGCGTGTACTGTAGCCAACACGGCGCACTGACATTATACTTCAAAAATATCTGACTTGCCTCCTGAACTATACGTTTGTGTGTTTATTTATAATACTTCATTCCTCTAGCTCCGGTGATGGCACTGAGAGTGAAGTACGTGCTCTCCTCCACATCAATCGCTGTGCATTTTCTTGCAACTGCATCACGGTACTGTGTTCGTGGAAATGCGAGTTCGAACCAACTGCTTTGCAGTCCTAATTCAACCGTGACCATAACTGGACTTAACCCCTACACCGTCTACTCGGTGTCCGCACACACAGAAACGAGCAGCTTGCGCTCACAATCTACTGCTGAAGTGACATTGAGGACGAATGCTTCAGGTGAGAAATTCTTGCAAAATGTGCATCACCGCGACATATCGCACATGGGCCGAAAGGCGAAAGCACTTCATTCAAGGTGCGTGCGTCATGCGTGATATGAGTGACTGCTACACGCACACCTATTTGAGTAATCAAGAGCCACGCGAGACTATGCCGAAACTCGGTGGTTCAGGGTTTTCTTGCGCCAACCATGTCTTGCTGGAATACAAATTTTTTAATATCATTGGAAATTTACGGAGGATTTGCTAACACAGTCATTCGTGAGCGAAAGCCAACGTGCATTGTTGCATGACGTTTCGTTTACACGACAACCGTGCAGCCTGTACACAGCGTGGCATCACTGGCATGGGGAAAAATGCAATAGAAGCACCGTTAATACTGCCTCCATTTGGGCTAATGCTTCTCGCTGAATGCTGCGCCAGCATAGATATGACAGCATGGCGCTATAGTGACTGTGTTTATGCTAAAGAAGTCATGATGATACGTCTTCCAACACCCTCATACACCTTACCGCTTACACATGATTATAATTATCATCTATACTGACTCACTTCCTACTCTACACCTCGCATTATTCACACCAAGTTGAAAGCCTTTGCTGTATTCACATGTTGTCATCATACAGTCTTGTTGTTCAATATGCACCTAAGGATTGGCTCGTTGTTGTTTTCATATGTTTTCACCCTGTTGATGGACGGTCTTGGTGACAATAATGCAGCTCCGACATCAGCTCCAGCAGGTCTGACGATCTACAGCAAAGTGACCAGCGTTGACTTGGTTTGGGTACAAGTGAAGGACTTCAATGGCGAAGCATTGAGGTATGACATATTCTATGAGGAGGTGGGAGCAGCCAGGGTTTACACTATAAGTGTTCCCTCATTGGTCAGTTCAACAACTGTAAATGGGCTAAAGTTTGATACTAACTACACATTCTCCGTGGCTGCAGTATCATCCGGTGGAAGAGGACCCAATATTAGCAGATACGCAAGAACCACGCAAGACCGTAAGTATTTACCCGAATAACTTTTCGTCTCAGTTCACCCGGAAACTCATGGCGGTTGCTAACACCAGAAAATACTAACGAACCCGGGCTCACATTTGATGTGAGGCAGAGGGTAGGGGACATAAGAACCTGTCGGGAACGCTTAGGCGAGCTGTAAAAAATTAATGTAATTATGTAATATCCATACGACATAACATGCAGCAGTTGTTGCACTGGTCAGCGCAAAGTAGCCACGAAAATGCCACAATCCTGAAAACTTTTAAATAAAAACAATAGCCACAGGAAATGTTAGAACAGTTTGCCTGACGCATACCTGGATTATCATGAAGTACAGCAAATGGCACGACATTATGTTGATTTTTTTGCATAACTCACGATAACTCACGATGTGCACCAAAAAAGATAACGTGTTTTGCCTTTTTGGAAATTGCTGGATTTGAAACCGAAATCCTGCAGTTATGCCGCAAGGCACTGGACCTAACCTCATTGGGCCCAAGTGTGTTACTACAGACAACCGTCGTCCTGGATACTGTTAGAAAGAATACAAAATACATTCTAACTGAAGCGGAGGCTTAGATACCGGTATTGTTGAATTGCATTACCTGTCCAACTCTGTATTGTTATTGTGTTTTGGCGGCGGTGCAGGTGCCCTGGCACCCAACATCACTTCCATGAAGATATTGGCAACAACGGTGACAATAAACCTGAGAAGTGTGCCGGGGAACTATCACTTGTCCAAATTCTGCTGTTACTTCACCAGGCGGTCGGTGTCTGGCATACCAATGTCCAATCTGGCTACGGAAAGGGTCTGCAGTGAGACCAGTCCCGTTGTCTTGTCACCAGTGGAAGAAGACGCAGCCTACGGGCCACCATTACACTACTGTATTGCAAGGAACACGCTCGATAACACTGATGGACATACAGCAAGAATGGCAGGTTTCAACACGCCACCAGCAGGTACATGTAACGAAGAATATTATTAGCCAAGCATCTTGTACGGGCGAAAATACCACCATGATCAAAGAATAGAAAATTCAAAACTGTCAAGCTATGTACATGTAACCGATGCACATACAATGTACTCGAAGTACTGAAAGTATCCCCCGTATCATCATGGACCATTGCTTCGCACAAGGGAGACGTTAGTCCGGCCAATTCACTTTAATTTTACAAATGTACTGCTGTTCTATGTGAAGAAGAGGTTGCTCCCTACGTGGGAGCTTGCACTATTCCTGGCGACTTGAATCCTCTCGTGAGTGGTGAGTCAGTCAAGTGAGAATTCAAGTTGGCAGGAAGAGCGCAAGCTCCCACGTAGGGAGCAACACACGATTCCACTGCTGTTCTATGTTAGGGAATTAAATATTTGATTGAGTTGTCATTGGCAGCTGCTATTGCCCGTTGGGCTGCCTTTGGTGTCAATATCTGATCATATGCATTTTCATGCTGGAAGAGACTGGGGACTTTTCGGATAGTGACTCAATTACCCATTCCTGCACGTATATACGTACATCCTTCCTCGCAACATTGGAGTTTCTGCTTTTTCCATAGACTTGCCTTGACACTTGACTGACTCATGACGGCCGTCCAGAGCATACCAGAAGTCCCAGGAACCATCGATTCATCAAACCTGCAATAGAGAATCTTTCCCCTGCTAAATATGTACACAGTGTTGCGCGGAATTCATCCTCCTCCCCTAAGTTGAGAGCTGGAATAGCCTCAAGAGGCTTTGCCTGACGAGCAGCACTAGCTTGGTACACCCCAGGTCTAAACATCACCAGATGGATTACGGAGAAAAATGTTTCTATCAAAACATATCGGTGTCCGTTGTTGGTGCATTGGTTGTGTTGCTATCAATACTAAGCTCACTATCTAGTCTCCGACTAGAAATTTGATGAATGTACAATCATGGCTGTGTCTTTCGAAGTACCTCGCTGATATTTCCCTGTTTCTTGACCATCCGAATTTGTGCAGCTCCAAGTGTGGTACCTAGTGATCTCACCTTGGACTCCACAACCGCAACAACAGTAACCTTCAGCTGGACTGCTGTCGACCCATTCAAACTGAATGGAAGACTGGTTGCGTACCATGTGTCGTGCCATTATTTGAATGGGATGGCCGTGACCTCTGTGAAAACCAACAATACACAAGTTTCAATCGGAGAGCTTACATTTGCAACAAAGTACGATGTTTCAGTGACAGCTGAGTCCACTGGGGGTCTCCGTGCTTCCGGCAGCTACTTGCAAGTCTTAACAAGCCAGGAGGGTACGTTTTAAGGCTGTTTGATACTTCAGAGCACCAACTCACGTCGTAGGTCTGCAAACCCGTGTAAATTTCACATTTGTAATAATATTTGATCCTAGCTACTCAAGAATGCAAGGAAGGATTGAAGACGCCAAATTTGTATACGATAGCAAAAATGTTTCTTTTCGAGAGGAAATACTGATACCTTTGGTTGGTTGGTTGGTTGGTTTTTATTATTTCAGTTCGTTGCCTCAACAGTACAAAGTACAAATATCAAGAGGGACGAACGAAAAGAGAATATAAAACATAGCAGAGAGGAAGATGCAACTGAAAGGAAAGAAAAACGGAGAAGGAATGTGGACTGGGCGGATTCATGAACCATTACTAGAGCAGGGCAAAGCATGAACAGAAGGGGCAAGTCCGTCGATATTCATGTTTAAAAATTCCAAGCCTTATTTTATTGGTGAAATACATTTTCAAAAAGGAGGGGGTATAGGGATATAGTCAATTTGTCGTCATTTAGAGCGTGCAAAAGTTCTGTAGAAAATGATCTAATGTCCTCACTTCCTTTCAAGTGAGCAGGGAGGGCATTCCACATAAGGGATGCTCTGGAGGAAAAGGAATTGTACCCTACCATGGATTTATACAAGCAAATTGACAAATTGTTTGTTGTAGTTCCACGAGTTGACCGCTTAGAGGTGGGCAAAGGGAAAAGACTGCGTAAGCATGATGCAGGCTGAACAATATGACAAATAAACGTAAACGTAAGAAATTGATAAATGTATCGATATTCAAGGTGTTTTATTTGAAGAGAAGCAAGAAGGGGTGGTACAGCATCATAATATGAAGCACCGCAGGTAACTCGTACAGCTCTACGGAACAAGGTAAACAATCTCTCCCTGGACTGTGCTGATAGGTGGGATGCGTAAACAGGGAAACAATACTCAAAGTCGGGATGAATCACACTAAGCAGGTACTGGCGACGGGCAAATGCTGCCATTTGGCGGAAGGTGCGTCGCAACGCGCCTATCTTGCGTGACACCTTGCTGGTGAGGTGATCTACGTGTGGAACAAATGAGAGCTTGTTATCGATAAGGATACCAAGGCAGCGAATTACACTCACTTCCCTTTGTGTCAATCACGTGTTCTGAAACCAACTCACTGCTGTAAGTCAACAAATATTCGGCGCACATTTATTTTCGGCTATTTTCGGCCTGGTCAGTGTTTGGACGAAAATTTGTTGCAGCCGAAATATTTTTGCAAGGTTCAGTGTGACAGTGTATACAGGCCGCTGCCCTACAGGCCGAACATTTCATGCGGCCGAAATGTGTTTTAGCCCTGGGAGGCCGAAATTTGAATGAGCCAAAAATTTGTCGACTTACAGTATGCATATACAGTGAAACCTGTCAAGGCGACCACTCGGATAAGGCGACCACCTGTCCCAGAAGACCACTGAAACCTGTCAAGGCGACCACTCGGATAAGGTTACCACCTGTCCCAGAAGACCACTGAAGCCTGTCAAGGCGACCACTCGGATAAGGTGATCACCTGTCCCAGAAGACCACTGAAACCTGTCAAGGCGACCACTCGGATAAGGCGACCACCTGTCCCAGAAGACCACTGAAACCAGGACCAAGGGATACTATTTCTAGTCAAATGACCCTGGATAAGGAGACCACCTGGAAACAGAGACCAGACTTTGAAGGTCCCTTGAGCGGTCGTCTTATACAGGTTTTACTGTAATGCTATGACATTTGACAAATTCATACAACTAGTGTATTTTGGGTGAACAAAAGCCCAGGTGTACTTAATTTTAAATGATCTTTTTGGTCATCAAATCAACCCGTGCAGCCCCACCAACTCCGGCAATCACAGTTTTGACTTCAACGACGTGGATCGCTGTCGAGTTCTCCAAGCTAACTGGAAAATTCCATATTTCAAGGTACTGCTGTAGATTCGCTCGAACTAGCGTGTCCGGCATTCCTGGTTCAGAAGAACCAACCAGCACCATCTGCAACACAACAACAAACATAAAACTGGATGGAGCGGAAGAAGATGCTACGTACAACCTCCTAGTTTTTGCCTACAATACGGCAGATGACATGGGATCTGCATATGCTGAAAATAATGTTACAACCAACAGAGCAGGTGAGCAATTTCTAGTGATTACAACCCGAAAGCTAGTTAGAGTTGCACGTGCTTTTACTCTCTCTTTTTTTACCTGGCTCTACTATTTTTTTACTGCTTAATTAAAACTGGCGGCATGGTCTCCTTTAACATGTAGTTGGAGTAGTCGCCGACTGCTTACACTAATATCTGCATTCACGATGCAGAACAGGTAAATTGTTGGTTGTGTATGCAGGCATGCAATTTGTTTTGTTCTACATGTATTTGTTCTGGGTGCGTGCGGGCAGAGCATGGTCTGGTGTTTGGTCGCATTGATCCGCACCCACCACGCCGTGCATGCTATGCACTCTGCTCAGTTTTATACTGTTCATGACAGCGGTTTGCCTACTCTCTGCACATGTCTTCGGTGTGTGTGTCTACCATCAACAGCTCCAAGTGCAGCACCTTGCAGCTTCACATTGGACAACAGCAGCACAATATCAGTGGGCCTCAGCTGGAGCCCTGTGGACCCGTACAAACTGAATGGAAGGCTAGTCCAGTACATTGTAAAAGCCTTGAATCTGAATGGCAGTATTGTGGCCATAGTCGGCACTAAAAGCACATCAGCAACACTCACTGGGCTCATCTTTGCCACAGTGTACAACATGTCAGTAGCTGCTGAGTCAACGGGTGGTAACAGCAGTCTGGCAAAGTACTTGCAAGTCACCACCAGCCAGGATGGTAATATGAATACCCATAGTTCCTATTCATTGCAAGACAGTGAACAAATCTCAGACTCTTCCCCACCATCATCAACATGCAAGGGCTAAAGAAATTTTTACTTGAACCAATCTTCACACATTCTCTTCAAGTGAATTTCGAACAACTAGAACCAATGATTACTACCTCTATCGTTTTAGACACTGCATAGCCAGTAGTAAAAATTTAATAGTGTTGAGCAGTCCTACCACACACATGGAAACCAGAGGAGCGATTCAAGACGTATGTATCCTCGACAATTACACAAAGTTCTAGGATACTGCTGCTGTGTTGATGAGGCCTTTCGTAACATTGCCTCTCAAATCAGTACATGGTGATAATGTGACGAAGCACAACGATCTCAAAATATTCAGCGTGTTGGCGGTAAAATTATGATGAAATGCACACAGGTTGAATGCTGCAGCGCCGATACTAACTGCGCCAAGGAGTACACACGATAACAGGGAGGCGGGGATCAGACTGATTTGCGAAATAATGGTACGAAATGCCTTATCCTTTTCACAAGTGGCCTTGCTCTTCGTGTGGTAATATGCTTCCCTGTGACAGAGTCCTTTTTTATTATGTCTTCATATGTTTCAATTCAGTTCTCATTCAGTAGTGCTCAAACGTAGTACTCAAATGTAGTACTGAATGTGCAATACAATTGTACTAATTTCTCAGCGGTGCAGCAATGCCTCCACTTGCTCCTGCAACTAACCCAGTCACAGAAATTTCTTTCTACATTGCTGCATGAGATATCTTCTAGACTGAAAGATTGTGGAGACCGTCAATTTTTCATTGAATCCAAGTGATGGCTGGTTCTATTTTAATGCCACTTGTATTTTAACGTACCTCCTCGCAGCTTCACGCAGGCTGCAGGCTTTTACCAAGGGTACATACCCCACCCCTGGGGATTACCCCTCCACCCTGGGGGTTAAGGCTGGGGGTTATGTACTGTTGGCTCGATGTGTTGATCATTGTTCGTGTATAGTGAACATGTGCATCTCCTTAGTGAAATCACAGGAAGCAATGAGAATACTTCTGAGATGATGCATGACTTCCAGTTGCAAAAATAGAATGCACGAACTAAAGTTCAGTTGTTCTTTGGACTACAAAAACCCACTCTATTTGTAATAGACCATTAAATTTTGTCTTTTCATACAGTACCTACAGCCCCGACATTCATCGTCGTATCGTCAACAACAGCGATATCAGTCACCTTCACCAAACTGACTGGCCGCTTCTTCATCTCCAAGTACTGCTGTAGCTTCAGTAGAATGGACGTGTCAGGAATCCCTGGATCACAGAAAGGAGCCATCACAAAATGCAGTCAAAACGTGTCTCTCATTCTGCATAATGTTGAGGAAGATGCTACGTACAATCTCGAAGCATATGCTAATAATACGGAAAATGGCATTGGACCCGTGTCTGCAAAGCAGGGCGTGACAACCAAACCGGCTGGTATGGAGATCCAATTATAATTATGTTGATTCAAATACAAGCTCTCATGAGAACGAACATCTGAATATTCTCAACCTTCGTATGAATATCTCATGTACATGTACCGTACTAATGGCGCTCCCAGAGTGTTAGTCTGTACGTGAAGTGTGTGGGTGATAAAGAGGATAGCAGCTTGTGTTGATTCCCAGGAGGGGTGAGTTTCGAAGTCTGAAGAAAATGTTGAACGGCAGCCGCTTGAATGACGACTGTGCCATAGCTTGGTCATACGACTGTGCCATAGCTTGGTGATACATCATGACTATGCCATAGCTTGGTGATGTCATCATGACTGTGCCATAGCTTGGTGATGTCATCATGACTGTGCCATAGCTTGGTGATGTCATCATGACTATGCCATAGCTTGGTGATACATCACGACTGTGCCATAGCTTGGTGAAACATCATCCCTGGCTATCAGCGAGGTTCCCTTTTCGCATCTCGGTGGTGACAATCAAATTCTTTCTTCTTACCTTTCCCATTTCACCTCACTCAACCTTATGAATATGATTATATTATACACTTGAAGTACAATGTAGACAGTTGTCTAAGGTCTTCAGCCTACGTGCAGTGCTGTACGTCCGGTGCTGTGCGTCCAGTGCTGTACGTCCAGTGCTGTACGTGCAGTGCTGTATGTGCAGTGCTGTACGTGCAGTGCTGTGCGTGCAGTGCTGTATGTGCAGTGCTGTACGTCCAGTGCTGTACGTCCAGTGCTGTACGTCCGGTGCTGTACGTCCAGTGCTGTGCGTGCAGTGCTGTACGTGTAGTGCTGTACGTCCAGTGCTGTACATCCAGTGCTGTGCGTGCAGTGCTGTACGTGCAGTGCTGTACGTGCAGTGCTGTACGTCCAGTGCTGTACGTGTAGTGCTGTACGTGTAGTGCTGTACGTGCAGTGCTGTACGTCCAGTGCTGTACGTCCAGTGCTGTGCGTGCAGTGCTGTACGTGCAGTGCTGTACGTGCAGTGCTGTACGTCCAGTGCTGTACGTGCAGTGCTGTACGTGCAGTGCTGTACGTGTAGTGCTGTACGTGCAGTACTGTACGTGTAGTGCTGTGCGTGCAGTGCTGTACGTGCAGTGCTGTACGTGCAGTGCTGTACGTGCAGTGCTGTACGTCCAGTGCTGTACGTGTAGTGCTGTACGTGTAGTGCTGTACGTGTAGTGCTGTACGTGCAGTGCTGTACGTGCAGTGCTGTGCGTGCAGTGCTGTGCCTGTAGTGCTGTGCGTGTAGTGGACACAGTATGTACATGCACATTGAATCGCTGATGAGTAAACGAAGGACGAAGCAGTCCTGTGGTGTAGATTCAGTAGTTTTGCTCCTGCTCTTGTAGCAGTTGAGCACTCTCATGCGGGAAGTGCCTTTGCTGCTTGCTTGGCGCAGAGCTCACTGACATTGTACTTTGACCACTAGGCATATGCGGATAATGCCGGCAGACAAATTCCAGAATTCGGTACTTTTTCTGGAAAGTTTCACGCATACTTGGTATGTGGATAAAGAAATGGAGCATAATTCGAGGAATTGCCCGCCATAAGGGTTTTATGGTTCTGTCAATTTCACTGCTTTTCGAGCAGGGATCTGCCACCTTTCGAGCATTATCCGCCAATGCCTATTGACCATCCTGGCAAGGTACACTCGGGCCTGTTTTGATCTTGCATAAAAAAATCCATGCAAATACTATCATTGCCACCCGGTTTCAGCCTCAATTTCTCTGTCCTGCGCTGATGAATCCACAAAGGGCGAAACATTTCTGTCCGCAGATTGAGGATAATGAAATGGGGGTGATATGTGTGCTTTGTGTGTATGTGGGGATCGGGGTGTCTGTGCACATGTCTTTAATGTATGTGTGTGTATGTGTATTATGTGTGTATTATGTGTGTGTATATGTGTATAATTATGTGTATGTGTGTGTCCTTGTGTACCACGTAAAGCTCCCAGTGCTGCACCTGGACACCTCACGTTATTCTCCCGAACAGCAACATCATTAGGCCTCGGTTGGACTGCTGTAGATCCATACAAACTTAATGGAAGACTGCTTGGATACTATGTTGTATGCAATTATCAGAATGGAAGCCGTGTGACGTCAGTCAGTACCATCAACTTACAGGAAGTACTAACAGGACTTACATTCGCTACAGAATACGATATATCAGTGGCAGCGGAATCAACCGGAGGTCTCAGCAGTAGCAAAGCTTACTGGAGGATCTCCACGACACAGAATGGTAGGTGCAGCCGCTGCCGGTTACATAGCCCTGTGTTAGCTTCAGTGTCACGCGATTGCTGATGGTTTTCATAATCGTAACACATCGATTACTGTACATGCGTATCGCCAAGCCTTCATCAGTCGACTTTGTTGAATGTAGCTCAAACAATCTGCCTCTGTTGACAGTTTTTAAAACCTTCATGTCAAGTCTTTAATGACAGTTAATGACAGTTAATGACAGTTAATGACAGTTAATGGACATCTCTGGAGATGATGAAAAATAACCAATGCTTCTAATGCATAATAAAAGAGAACATTTGGGTGCGAGTTATGACTTGTGAAGCAACTCCCGACGACAGTAAGAAGATAATAAGCAGTCGAAAACTGCGATAACAGGACACAACACCGACAAGCTACTGAGACATTCAAAAAGCTGACACCTAGTGACACACATCTCCAGTGTGCAAAACTTGAGTGCAGCGAAAATACGCACAAGCAAAGTCCCACGGCAACAAGGAATGCCCACTGTTACTGGACAATGACAAGACCAGTTACTAATGACAATGCGGTCAAACTACAATTCGAAGAAGCAAAGAAACACACCATCCAACTTGTATGGGTCAGGAATATCCAAGAGAAAGGAATGGAAAGGTTCGCGGAAACGAATTGTTCAAAACCGGACGCCAATATCTAATGGTATGCTGGTGCATGACGTTATCACAGACCAGTTGACTACATTACCAATTAGCTTCTCACAAAGTTTGTTTTGCACTTTCTGAATGTTTATACTTGTAAGCAGAAGGATAAGCATTTCCAATCTTGCACTGGATTTACTGTCCAGCAACCGAATTCCAAGCAATAGATTATTGAGCACTAGTTTTCAAGCATGTTGCATTGCTGTCCTACTCAGCAATCACCAATCAAAATAATACCAACGTTTTGAACTTCTTTCATTGCTCACTGCATGACACTTAGCTATGATTCATGACTACCACTTGAAACTGTGCCGTGACCTGGCCATTGAAAAGCATTGAATTTCTTTGATAGCCCCCCTTCCCCCTCCTACTCTGATGGTGCCCCCTACTCTGGTGGTGTCCCCTCCCCCCCCCTCTACTCTGTTGCCCCCTCCCCAACACTCTGGTGCCCCCTACTCTGACAGCGTACTGCCCTACTCATTGCTCGATTTAACAACGAAAATGCTGTCACACATCGATCGTTCGGGATGATCTGTTGCAGTTTTTGTGACACGGCAATAGTGGACCATGGAACAATGGGTGACCTGTTCGTTTCCCCTATTCCCACCCCCTCCCCTTTAAAACCCCTTCTAATTAATTTTTCCCTGGCTAGAACCCTGGTGATGCTCATCTATCCCATGTGACAGTGAGTTGCAGATAGAGATTTCACTGTTTTTTTTATCCTGGGACACAGCACCGCCAGCTCCGGTAATCACGGTTTCCACAACTGCAACGTCTATATCGGTCAGCTTCACGAAACTGACCGGACTGTTTCACATCGACAGGTATTGCTGTGTTTTCACAAGGTTGGATGTGTCGGGAATCCCCGGATCAGGAGCAGCAAACATCACCACATGCAGTGCAACAACATCCCTCACACTGAACGCTACTGAAGAAGATGCCACGTACAATCTGGACGCATTTGCCAATACGACTGAAAATAACCTTGGTTCCATATCTACAAGAACAGGCTTGAAAACCAAACCATCAGGTATGCACATACAGTACTCCCTCGTTTTTTCCCGTAATTATACTGGTGTGGATTGCGCAGATGCATGTGTTACATTGAAGAATGAGAAGTGAAGTTTCATAAATGTTAAAGTGGCTGCACTGGAGTTTGCGGACGATTAGAAACGTTTACACTGAAGAATGCTTTTTTTTTAAAGAATTTTTCCTTAGTTCTCAGGGCACGGAGACTTCACTGGTACCAGCCATTATATCCATATATCCGCAGCACCGTTTGAACACAATTTCGTAATAACAGTCTCTGGGCTACACCGATGACATCAAAAAATAGTAACCAAATGTTTGGGCAGGACATCTCTTCAGGAGGAAGATAGGCCTTTACCGGGAAAATTCAGATAATTCCGTCTTTACATCCCAGAGATCCGCTGAACATGTTCAAACGTTAAGGACGTATAGACAATTCTATACTTGTAGTTGATCACAGAATGGTCATCTTCTAAGGGTTTTCCACACAGTGCAGTTTCATTCTTGAATAGATGTTCCATATCCTCCAGGCAACTAGTTACCTTCATCTGCTATTCATTCGTTACCTACCTCCACTGATGAGCTCTCAATGAGAGAAACAGCTGTCTGGAGGATATGGAATATCTATCCAAGAACGAACTTCCTCGCTATGGTTTGGTGAATGTGGGCCAAGAGCGAAGTGCGGAGAGATGGACACTTTTCTTCAAATGGCCGAGTCGGTCACAATTTCCGAGTTTTCTTCAAAAGTCTCTTATAAAACAAAAAATACTTCGAAATATCTTATCATCATTTTAGCGTGTGCGGAATTCAATAGGTTTATGTACGAATACCCTACACAGATGTATGCTTCTGTCGGCCATCTTCTCAAACTGATTCTGTACAATTGTGATCAACAGTTCCAAGCATTGCACCCGGCAATTTCGCGTTGAACTCCAGAACTGCAACGTCCATACACCTAAGCTGGACAGCTGTTGATCCATACAAGCTGAATGGACGACTGCTTGCCTACCATTGCAAATGTGAACTTGAGAACGGCAGGTTCGTTGATGCACTCACAACAAACGAAACCCAGGTTTTGATCTCTGGCTTGACGTTTGACACAACCTACCTGATATCTGTGGCAGCTGAGTCCACTGGGGGTGTCAGCCATTACATAATCCGGCAAGTCTCCACGATCCAAGATGGTATGTACTGGTGTAAGCTGGTAAATTATTCCGTCAACGCACCTCCAAAAACCATTCACAACATTCATCTCTTTGCTGCACACAGTGAAATTCCATTCATATCTTTAAAAGTGTCCAACCATTTCCAAGGACGAGGACGTCAAAAATGTCGAAACCCAATGAGGTTCACTACACTCCACACATTCTGGTTTCAAAGATGGGGTTTGTGAGCTGCCCATACATACATTCATCATCATCATCATCATCATCATCATCATCATCATCTGCGTTGCCGAAAAAAATAATAATAGTAAAATTTAAAAATATTTAAATAACCGACGTGGAGACAACAGTCGTAAAATAGCAATGAAAAATATCAAATGTGCACTCATAACTATGTATAAACAATTAAAATGAAACAATTCCAGAACGTTTTCGTGTGACTATCATCAGTGGAGCATCGTCACATAGTAAGAATCACTAAAACAACCAGTTATATAGCTAGAGTAATATGAAAAGAAGCGTGAGAATGCAGCAAAGCTAGCGGTTATGCGTAGCGCGTGTAGTGTGAACCTTTGCAGTGTATCTGAGAATGGTAGCAGTAGATGAATGTGGCAGCTATGAGTGCGTGTGGACAAAACTGGTGAGAGCTTATTATTTAAAAAGTGTGAGTGCTACAACATTTTCTTTTTGCTTGCATAGAACAGGGTCACGTGTGCGAATATATACAACTTCCAACACCTGCAACTGCTTAAAGAAACGTGCGGAACAAATAACACTAAACCAGGAATCGTCAAACAACTTACGACAATCCAGACTGGACACCAAATGCTTGTAGATAGCAGACTTGCTCTTGTCGATGTAGAACTCCTCCTCGTCAGTATCACTCTCATCCTCCACTTCCCATTCCCGCTCACCCTTGCTTTCCTCCTGACCATCCTGTTCATCCCCATCATCATCCTCCATCTCCATCTCCTCATGCCATCGCTTCTTTCTCCTTGACGTGTTCACTGCTGCGCCCGTACTTTCACCTGCCGCTACTGGTTCCGCCTTCTCGATTTTTCTCAGTCGTGTCTCCGCTAGTCTCTGGCTTCTCCTCAGATTCGTTTTCCTCCATTTTCGTTTCGTTCTCCTGGTGATCTTTCCGTTACCGCAGTCTGGTTTGTTAACGAACGATCGTCCGGCGGTCTCCCATGCCGTGGTGTGGTCGTCAAGAGTGACACCAGATTCATGTGTTGCGCTTCTGTTGATTCCGGTGTTATATCCGTTCCTGGTTGTGTTGTAATAATGACAGGCGTAGTAGTAGGCAACGGGTGTTTACGTGGCCTCCCACGCTTTGGCCTGCTTGCCCTGGCTGCTTTTGAAAACAAGGACAATGGGACATGTTGTTTGATACGTTCGGACAAGTGTTGAAGCGTCCTGCCAACATACCGACTACCGCACTGTAGGCATTAATGATAAATGAGGTGACTCAAATGATGGGTCGGCAGGACGTCCTTCAACACCGTGAACGAACGTATCGTTGTGAAGACAGTTACTACATTCACTGCATAGTACGTCTTCTGGACAATAGACTTGACAATACGACTGACCTTTGTCGACTCCGCGCCTTTCCAAGGCAGGCACAGGAAGACACGACAAGGAGCCGGGCCGATTGTCAGTTCCTTACGGGGCACATTGTTCGTTAGTAGTTTCGGAAAGATCACCAGGAGAACGAAACGAAAATGGAGGAAAACGAATCTGAGGAGAAGCCAGAGACTAGCGGAGACACGACTGAGAAAAATCGAGAAGGCTGAACCAGTAGCGGCAGGTGAAAGTACGGGCGCAGCAGTGAACACGTCAAGGAGAAAGAAGCGATGGCATGAGGAGATGGAGATGGAGGATGATGATGGGGATAAACAGGATGTTCAGGAGGAAAGCAAGGGTGAGCGGGAACGGGAAGTGGAGGATGAGAGTGATACTGACGAGGAGGAGTTCAACATCGACAAGAGCAAGTCTGCTATCTACAAGCATTTGGTTTCCAGTCCGGATTGTCGTAAGTTGTTTGACGATTCCTGGTTTAGTGTTATTTGTTCCGCACGTTTCTTTAAGCAGTTGCAGGTGTTGGAAAATGTATATATTCGCACACGTGACCCTGTTCTATGCAAGCAAAAAGAAAATGTTGTAGCACTCACCAGTTTTGTCCACACGCACTCACAGCTGCCACATTCATCTACTGCTACCATTCTCAGATCTCAGATGGATTTACAATATTAAAAATGATCTAAAGCACGCCAATATTGATATTTCTGACTGTTTTGAACTGGCTCCAGACAAGAAAAATGGCTGATGCTTGTGGAAAATTGTGCTGCGCTTGCGTAGTTGTTCTTACTGCAATACGTTCTAACAATATTGAGATGCCTTTTGTCGGCTCTTCTGCCTGGATTTCGTTGACAGATGCGTTAAGCCCATGGATCCTTCCATGAATGACATGCGAACTGTAACTATTATTATTATTATTATTATTTAAAAATTCGACGAGGAGACAATAATTTTAATTGGTGCAGCCCTCGGGTGTGCCTAAGTCTGTGCCTCTGGGTGCTTTGCATGGGGCTGTGCCTCGAGTGGTGACAGCACCTCTGCCTCCCCCTGACCATCCTCCTTCGAGGTCTGTGTTGGTGGGGAGCACCCGCGGCGGTCGATTTGTCCCACCGGAACCAGAGCTGGATTCAACAGAAAGACCAACAACCATGGCTGCAACAACAACACCAGCTTCACATCCAACAACAACACCAGGTTCACATCCAACAACAACAACAACTAATCCACAAAACAAAGCAGCAAATGACAGACCACGGAGATCTACAGCAGATTACAACCGGACCTATGAATTCACGGTAAAAATACAAAGGAAACAATCGGAAAGGACGACGACTGACGTGAAGGCAACGGCATTCACGGTTGGCGTGGGTGGTGAAGGTGAGACGCAGGACGATGCAAGTGAGGAGGAGAGTCAAACCGCGGTGGATGACGGAGCAGGTTCTGATTCGGACAGTGAGGGAGAAGGTGAGCTGAGTGAGAGTGAGAGTGAGTGTGAGGGTGTGCGCGTGAGTCGAGATTGTGTGCGTCCGTCTCGTAATAACAAGTCTTCAGTATACAATCATTTGGTTTCTAGTACTGACTGTTGTCGTACTTATTCTGATTCCTGTTTTTCTGTTTTGTGCCGTGCTCGTCATGGTTATCTTTTGCAGTTACAAGTTTTGGAAGCTGTTTGTCAGCGCATTCATAAGCCGAATTTGTGTGTCCAGAAAGATAGTGTTATTACCCTAAAATTGTTCAAATAGTGTTCTGTTGTGTAGTGTGGCAACGTTGTTGCCTCTTGTGCCTAAATGTGTTTTGTCACCTTCTTGTTTATTGTTATTTTTATCATTCGTTCTCACTTTTTTGTTTTTGTTGCTGATACACACTTGTCACGCTTAGTTCTTACTTGTATACCCTTGTTTTCTGCACACTTTTGTGAGAAATCGCACCTCGATATTCCAGTGCTGTCATTGTTACGTGTCACCCTACCTTGATTGCTATATTATTTCCTTTGTTCTCCTTTTGTTCTTTAGTACAACGGTGATTCCTGAAGAGTGTTGTACGAAAACTTGTTCGAATCATCTTTTTTCCATTGCCCTTTTTCTTCTTACATGTATTTTTCCTTACCCTTTTAGGCTGTTTCTTGCATCGTCTCCATCGCTTACATTGTTAATAAAGTAGTCCACATGTCGCTTCAGCTCGTCCTACTTATTGCAATATTAAAATTATTATTATTATTATTATTTGGAAAGGATTGGGAGAACTTCATATTCAAAGGATCAGTCGGGGAAGTGAACTGCCTGAAAAGAGAAAAAAACGCCAGACCCACCAGGACTCGAACCTGGGACCCTGCTTGTCATGAGCAATGCTCTAACCACTGAGCTATGGGACCAGGCTGAACCTAGAAGGCGCTGACAAGTTTTTCACTCCAAAGGCAGCTCACAACACGTGCCACACATACTGATGGCACTTGGGTCTTTTTCCCTCCCCCAGGGGACCAACCACGGTCAGTTTCTGGAAACTACCAGAGGTGAAAGAAAGTGATTAAATTTGGAAAGGATTGGGAGAACTTCATATTCAAAGGATCTGGCGTTAGTATCACTCTCATCCTCCACTTCCCATTCCCGCTCACCCTTGCTTTCCTCCTGACCATCCTGTTCATCCCCATCATCATCCTCCATCTCCATCTCCTCATGCCATCGCTTCTTTCTCCTTGACGTGTTCACTGCTGCGCCCGTACTTTCACCTGCCGCTACTGGTTCCGCCTTCTCGATTTTTCTCAGTCGTGTCTCCGCTAGTCTCTGGCTTCTCCTCAGATTCGTTTTCCTCCATTTTCGTTTCGTTCTCCTGGTGATCTTTCCGTTACCGCAGTCTGGTTTGTTAACGAACGATCGTCCGGCGGTCTCCCATGCCGTGGTGTGGTCGTCAAGAGTGACACCAGATTCATGTGTTGTGCTTCTGTTGATTCCGGTGTTATATCCGTTCCTGGTTGTGTTGTAATAATGACAGGCGTAGTAGTAGGCAACGGGTGTTTACGTGGCCTCCCACGCTTTGGCCTGCTTGCCCTGGCTGCTTTTGAAAACAAGGACAATGGGACATGTTGTTTGATACGTTCGGACAAGTGTTGAAGCGTCCTGCCAACATACCGACTACCGCACTGTAGGCATTAATGATAAATGAGGTGACTCAAATGATGGGTCGGCAGGACGTCCTTCAACACCGTGAACGAACGTATCGTTGTGAAGACAGTTACTACATTCACTGCATAGTACGTCTTCTGGACAATAGACTTGACAATACGACTGACCTTTGTCGACTCCGCGCCTTTCCAAGGCAGGCACAGGAAGACACGACAAGGAGCCGGGCCGATTGTCAGTTCCTTACGGGGCACATTGTTCGTTAGTAGTTTCGGAAAGATCACCAGGAGAACGAAACGAAAATGGAGGAAAACGAATCTGAGG